ATGATCAAGGAAAACCAGTTGATGTAATCTCTTGGATTTCATCCCAAAGCTTTTGATACCGGCTCTCACAGTATCCTTCTGGACAAAATGTCCATCATTCAGCTGGATAAACACATCATGCATTGGGTGAGCAATTGGCTCGCAGATTGGACACAAAGGGGTGAATGGGGTTACTTCAGGCAGACGACCGGTCACTAGTGGGGTTCCACAGTGCTCCATCCACAGACCAGTGCTCTTGGACACAGTACTGGAAGGGATACTGAGTTTGCAGATGATACAAAGTTGGTAGGGTACAAAATTGACTCTGTCCAAGGCAGAGAAGACTACGAAGGACATTGAGGGGAAACAGCTGAGGTCACTTGGTCTGCTCAGCCTGGAGGAGTCTGAGGGGAGACCTCATCGTGGTCTACAGCTTCCTCTGTAGAGGGGCAAGCACTGATCTATTTTCTCTCTTGACCAGTGACAGGATCCAAGGTAGTGGCCTGAAGCTGTGTCAAGGGAGGTTTAAGTTGGATATTGGGAAAATGTTTTTCATCCAAAGAGTGGTTGGGCAGTGGAACAAGCTTCCCAGGGAAGTGGTCACAGCACCAAGCTTGTGTGAGTTCAAGAAGTGTTTGGACAGTGCTCTCAGGCACACTTGAGGCTGTCCTGTGCAGTACCAGGAGTGTGATGATGCTTGTGGGTCCCTTCTAACTTAGAATATTCTGTGATTGTCTATGTACTTGAGTACTAATTTTGTTGTAAAATAATTTAAGACTAACTACAGAGACAGCTTTTCATGATGTTATTTGCACTTATATTGCACATGATGGGAAGTGTTTACATGGTATTTAAAAATTTGAGATTCTTGAACTACTAAACATACCGATGGGTTTTGAGCACAACGTTTCCTCTTTTTGTGTAGTAGAGTGAAAGACTTATGAGGAAGAAGAGATTTTATTGTAACATACTCCTGAAAATTTATGGAATATTAAACAGAGATCTAAATGAACTTGAAACAATTCAGACACTAGCTAGTAATAAATCAAGCCTTACTGTAGTTTCCTGACCCTAGTAAAGTGTGTTCGAAATTGGCATTAAAGCTGAAGTTTTCCAATCATCTTGACTGGAGAAAGGTATTCAACAGCAGCTGTTGTATTTTATTTCTTAAAAACAGAATACCTAACATCTAAATAAGCCTGGATCTTGGGTATAATTAAGAATTCAGGACTTTCCAGATGTTAAAGGGCATTAAAATTTTAGATCTGTAACATGCAATCTGATTAGTGATGCGATGTTCCTCCAAGGGCGAGGACCTGGTTCTTTGTGAATGTTATCTAAATTCTCCTCTGTCTGACTCCAGTTAGGTGGGTTACAGTCATTTTTGTGTAATGACATTAGAGTGCTGGAGTCTTCAAATTTTTCATTTGTACTGTAATACGTATGAAATACGTATACATATTACATATACGAATACAGTTCAGAAACGGTGAACATTCAGAAGTGAATCTGCTTGTCAGCCTCCAAATGGAATTATGTGAGATTTAGTCACTTCACTCTGGTACAGGAGCTGTAGTTGTTCAGAGGTGAGAGGGATGGCATTTGATTAAAATTGATTCTGAAATAAGAGCACTAGTTTTGCATATTTATATCCATGCTGATTCAGCAGGGAATTAATTAATGTTTTGGTACTCAGCTGTTTTCATCTGTTTTGATGAGCTCGCTGGGAAACACTCCATGGAAACAACCAGCCCTTGCTTGTGTTGGGGAGGACATGTGAGAACCAACAAGAGACCACAGTGGGGAAATGGGAAGGAATGGCTTCAGGTGGAGCTACAGTGGGCAGAAAGAGGGCTAGAAGAAGAATGGAAGCCCAAGGTTGGCAGATAAGTCAAAAAAAGAGAAATATTTTGGTTAAAGAAGGATGGTAAGGAGTGAGAGGAAATTGTCCAAATCCACAATGTAATTTCTGGAGTTTATAAGAGCGTTTGAGAGTAAAGCCTGTGTTAACATTTTGGAGAGAATTTCCAATGCACAGTGATATTTTTGAGCCAGGTGATAAAATTATATTCCAAGGAATAAAACTAAAGTTTTATCAAAGACATTGGCCTGGTTTTTCATGTGTAGCCATGACTGACTGTAATCCCTTCAGCTACTTTTCTTAATATATATACCCGGGGTAACATTTTCCCTGGAGCCACTGAGCAACACTCATGTTCACTCATAGAGGATTTTGCCTTCCCCGTATATTGAGGCAAACGTGAGTCGACTTGCACAGGATACCCTGCCATTATCGGTTTGCTTCTTTATTCGTTGAGAGAGCTTGTGTACCTTTGTCAAAGTAATTTAAATCATTGCTTAAATCATTCAGAAGTCATGTTTATGTGCAAATACTTTTTAACATGCTGCATGCATTAAGTATTCATACTTCAAGACATCACCTTAAGATTGTCACAAAGTATTAGCATATAGTGCTCTAATGTTGTTGAGGTCTTAGGTGATATATCCAAAACCTTTGAATGAATCAATTTGAGGGAATAAATATCAAGAGTATCTGTGGACTAGAGCTTGATTTACTTTCTGCAGATCCCTTCTTCTCTCCATCTGCTCCTTCCTTCTATTTGATATGCAAGCCCATTGCTCCATTAACAAAGAGAGGCATTTCAAAAGTATGTTTCCAAATATGTTTCATTTGAAATTTTGAGAAAATATATGCTATCATGGAGCTTCTGAGGACATAATGGCATGTTCAGACAAAGAATTTACACAAACATTGCCACTTTCTTGAGCACCTTTCTGGTTTGATTTCTAGATGCAGTGACAAGCAGTGAAAAGTGGCAGCATCATTGGCATATCAAAGGCAGAAGCTATGTTAGGGTGGCATGTAAAGTTGGGAGATGAGGTGAAGAAGGCTATGCAATCCAAGGAAATAAGTGGAATAAAATTAATACCTTGGGCAGGAGAAGCGTGAATACATAAGTGTACCCTCCATAATACAAGCTTTCAGCTGAGAGCTCACAACAGTCCAGGCTCGGTGTAGAAGGACAAAGTACCCATGGATGGGCTGATGCCTGTGTGTAAGTAGTGGTAGACAGAATGAGAAGAGATCAGGAAGTCCTAAGGGAAAGAGCAGCTGACATCTGTGGTGGTGGAAGGAAAGGGAGCAGAGACCTGCAAGGGGAAGGCAGGGCTCTCAGGGTAAAGCCCAGCAAAATGGTCGCTGCTATGGCATTTTTAGTAAGCTGAAGGACATTTCTGAAAGCCTAGGAGGAGGTGGGAAGGGAGATGACATGTGATGCCACAGGGGTCTGGGTGAGAGATTTAGTTTTAAGTTTCATGAGGAATATGGAGATTGTGGAGATATTTTATGCATTCTTGATCATAATTTTTCCACTTTGTGGGAAAAAAATAACAGAGGAAACTGAATATTTTTTTTTCAGAGACTACCTTAAGCAGTGATGATATCCATGGCTGTATTTTACACTTGTGTTTATTCCCTGGTTACAGATCCTGCTCAACAGTATGAACTCCTTTCTACAAACCTCAGGCTCTTACTTTTGTACCCAAAGGGTTTCTGCCATGGAGAAAATAAATTCTTCTTAATCACCACTGAGGCTCCTCCACCAAAGTATTTTGGTTCATGTTACCTATTTTTGTTTATAGGCACTCATCAGCATAATGTACCATGGCCGACAGCAGCAGGATTTTTAGACACCTTAGGATTTTTTTTTCTACCTGCTTGTATATCACTCATAGCATTTCATATTCTATTTCCATTTGCCAGCAGTTTGGCAAAGCATCACTTATATACCATCATAAATGTCTTCCCTGAGAAGAGAGAAGCCAAAGCATCAATAATTGATGAAAGAAATATCCATTTCACAGAATTTTAACAAGACTGAAAAAAGTTAAATGCATATGGACAGACACATAACTATTCATACTTTTAATGCATCACACAAAGCTTGCAAAGGACGTGGTATCAGATGACTGTGCAAACTTCAAAAGGCCCTGACAATAGTCTGTTTTTACAACCACTTTTAAACAGATGCTTCCAGGATGAAATGTTCAAGTGCTACACAGTTAACACAGCGAGATCATGTGGCAGGTTAGAAAAATCTATTAATTGCAGGATGAATTGTGGATGAATAAATTGAATATGTAAAACTGGAAATTATCATGTATTCCCTGATTCATTGTCTATTTCTGACATGGAGAACTAAATTCTCTCTAACAGAGCCACACGTGCGTTAACTGTACGTAAAAGTACCCAGCACAGAGCCTTTATTTTACCTTCAGCCATCATTTTCCTTGCCCCAAAACTTGCAGAAAAGTTGGAGCTGATTCCTGCATCAGTTGCTTTGTCTGCACATCCTCCAGCATGCAGGGCATGGAGCACAGGTGATGTACTGCCCCACCACTGAAGCTACTGAGTACTGACTAAGACAGCATTGCTTGGAACTTCTCATCAGTGCCACTCATGGGAACTGGAAGTTTTTATGAATTGAAGGAGCCGTGCCCAACTCTGTGCTGCTCCTCTTTGGCTACTCAGGAGGACTGGAGAGTCTGGTCCAGAGTTTGTTAAAGACTAAGTTATCAGAACCTTCTTCTTAATTCTGAAAATGGCATTGCTCATCTGTACTTACTGTACTTACTGTCTCTGGGATATGGAGGTGGAAGGGAAGAACGCCACCTATTTCCTCAGTTCAGCAGCCTTCTTCTATGTCTAAGTTCATTGCTTTTCAAGATCACTCACACAGAAAATGTAACCAGAAAATGGTTGGGCTTGCCAGCTATGTTTTTGTACTGGATTTTTGGTAAAATTGTTTGTAAAAGTATTTAACTACTTGCCTAATTTTAAGAAGATGGATAGTACCATTTTTTCTAAGATTATCGCATGCTTAAAATTAATACATTATTTTGTAAAACATGTATAGATTTGGAGGTTTGCATACACACACATTGTGCTGATCGATGTCAAGCCTTTTGAAAGAATTTATATATCTATTTTTGCCTCCTAGGTGGATACCCATGGAAACATTCTGCTAACATCACTTGAAATTCACAACGAGGTGGCAAGCAATGAGGTCACCACCAGCGTTACGGAAGCCCGAAATTCAACTATATCCTTTGACAACTCAGGAATCCAATACAGAAAACAAAGCTCACATCGTGAAAGCTTTGGAAGGCGTCCTTCAGAAAGAACAGGCTCTCATAGCAAGAGGGGCCATTTACGAAGAAGGTCTTCGCAACTGAAAATAAAAATCCCTGATCTAACGGATGTGAATGCCATCGACAGATGGTCAAGAATGGTGTTTCCATTCACATTTTCTCTTTTCAACTTAATTTACTGGCTATACTATGTTAACTGAATGACTGAGTTTTTTTAAAGGACTTCAGTTATAACAAGTGAAGTACTACTTGCCTGCAGAGTTTATATATATATTTATATATATTTATATATAAAAAAATATATATATGAACTTTTACTATGTAGACCATATTCATGTATGTGTGAATACATGTAGCAAAGAATTGTGTGTACTTTAAAGCACATACTGCAAAGCAAAAGTATATGTATGCACACACACATGAACACATTCATTCTGAGGTTATGGACACTTCAACATAGAATGCACTTCAGAGGACCTTTTTAAATCAAAAGGCAGGTGTTGTCAAACACCTTTGACAACAAGCCTTGAGAAAGCGTTGTATATCATCACTACAAAACTTTGATTGTCATAGAAATTTTCAAACAGCTGTAATCATGTATAAAGTCAGTATTTAGTAACATCATTTGTAAATGCTGCCATACACACTAATCATAAAGCAGTAGAGTTACACTGGTAAGTTTAAAATAAGTTATTTATATTGCAGATCCATCAACTATGATTTCATCATTCCAGATTTATTTTTCTTAGCTAAAATTTCTTGAGTTCATATATATCATAATGTATTTTTTCCCAGTTCTGAATGGGTATCATTTTTAGTGATCTCTGGCTTTCTCTTCTGCAGTAAGCAAGCTGATCATGGGAGTGTTGTAGGTCTTTGGAGACATATACAGGTTTATAATGTTTCAAACAAGCATTTTAAGTGTCCATCAACAGTGAAATGAATCTTCTGTAAGTACTGTAAATGTACAGCATTTTTTCCTTCCCTTAGACTGGTTCCAGCTGCCATGTCATTTTGAAAGAGAACAGCACATTTTTAGTATAATTTAGCTGAGAATTCAACTACTATCAATGTGTTCTACATCTGCTATAGATTTAAAGATTGTTATTCCAGTGAAAGTGTAGAAGATGTCTCAGGTTATTTATTTCAACATGAAATCATCTAGCTGTAGCCTTTTTTAAACAAGCATTCATATTATTTAACATTCTTATAACATTGTATGTTAATGTAAAATATATTTGCATAATATGCATATAAGTATATTTTGTCAATATTTTTCTTCCTTGTGCTTGCTATTGTGACCGCATGTTATGCCATATTTTTGTTTCTGTGATGTTATAACTTTTTATTCTCTAGAGTTAAGCAAATAGAGCACTTCCGATACTTTGATTTGGTAATGGAGCACTTTCATAATTTATTTATATACTGCAAGTATATACACCCACACTTACCAAGGTAGTGTGCTGCCATCACAGATCACAGGAGTATGGTTTTTTTCAGCATTAACTATGTTCTAATACATCCTTCATGTGAATGTGACCCCTTTGGTTTTCATCACAATTTGTTCCCTCACAGGGATTCCAACTTTTTTCAGTCTAGTAGATTGTAGTTGTCAAGGTATGCCGATTTCAGATCTGTAAACTTAATCTGTTATTTATCAGAACTAAACCTTTCTAAAGAAGAGAAGATATATTTTTTGTAAACAGTTTCTATCATGTACATTCTCAAATAACAAGAAATACAGTAGCATAAATAGAACCAAAAGAACACAATACAGGCTTAGCCCTGCCAGTTCTCTGTGTCTGGAATTCCTCTGGACATCGATGGGATATTTTGACAGATAGAGAGGTTTGGATCATAGTTAGAGACTTCTATGGGAGAAAATATGTGAGGATAAGCATCTAGCAAAAACACCAAAAAGGGATGAAACTGAAAAGGCTGCCTTGGCTCTGTAATGACCCATGTTCTCACTAGTACTTAATTTATCTGCGAGTAGAGCAATGATACTTGTGTTGCTGCCTTTACAGTCCATTACTGTTCCCTCCCGTATTTGCAGCTGAACTGTGAAACTTTGCTCTGGACTGAAATTCAGCACAGATAAACCTGGTTTGCAAAGCCTGCGTTTCAGTTCCACCCTGGGAGCATGACTGGGCTCCCCACAGTTGCCTTGCAATGAAGCTGCCGTGCGATCCCCACCTGGGAGTGGTCACTTTAACCCCAGCAGCTGGCGTGGGCAGGATCAGCGCCGCAGTCCTGCTGCATCCTTGGCAGTGGTGCAAAGTGACTGGAACTGCAGTTTTTAAGCACTGTATCTGCAGACAAATATACAATATGAAGAGCCTCAAAGGAACCTGTATAGCTGGAGCAGAAAAACTTGTTGTTTAAAAGCTCCTCAGTATTAAGTCCCATTGGTAAACCATAATGTATTGTAAGCTCTCTAATAGCTCTTCAAACTGTGAATTGATTATAGAGACCATTGTCAACATTGTAATCAAAGTAACTAGCAATTAACACCCTCCCAAAGTACATATTAGATAGAATTGTTGAAAAACCTTCCCCAGTGTTTATCTTAATAGCAAAATATATTTAAAGAAAACCATCTGATTTTAATAAAAATTATAAATAGTAGGCTTTGCTTTAGAAAAATTGCCCTACTGAAATGATCTCCCAGCAAGTCTTCCAGTAAGTGTCCTAAATAACTATGCTGAAAACAGGATTCAAGAAGAGAGTGGTCCTGCCCTCATGATTTAATGACCATTCTCTCTTTTATTCAAGCCCCAGCTCCTACAATCATGTGATCAGGCAGAAATCTTCAATAGAAAGTGGTTTTGGTTTTTTTTTAGTTGTGATAGAAATGTATACTTCAAATCCCACTGAAATCAGTTGTTCAGTGGCTTCAACCAGAATTTCCAAGCATATGGAAAATTACTGTTTGGCCAGAGCAAAGAGACAATGTGGATTTTTCAGGACCCTGTATGGGCAAGAGAACTGAGTCTCTGAGGACTCTCTTTCTCTTTCTCTCTCTCTTACCCTTTGCACAACTGGAGGGCAGGATGTTACTACAGCCCCTTTCAGAGACTGCACTCCCCACCGTGTCTTTTGTTGCAAAAAGTGGGCAGTCGCACGTTTCAGCTTTTTCACAAGATTTCGCGTTCATTGGTTTGGTTGAGTTCCATGGGACACAAACAGCTTTAACCTTGAACAGATCCAAGTCTTGGTTTGACTTGAAAAAGCCAGGAGAATCTTACTTAAGGTTAGCACTTCCTCTTACACACACATTTTTGTGCCTTTTTTTGCCAATTCCCTTCCTTCAGCCCCAAAATGACTTCGTACACACACACACGCACACATACACACACACACACATAGGTGTTAAGAACAGCGTTTGCCTTGACCTCCCATTTTCTGGCTTTTATCCCTGTGTGCTAGCTGCAGTATATTATTTTAACCATACATGGCTTTAAGACTAAAAATGGTAATTTTAATCAAATCACACCAGAGTTATGTCTTTCATAGCTAATTAACTACTTTGTAACTTAACACTACTATAAATAACATTTGCACATCATTTGTTTGTAAAAGGCTTTAAAACAAAAAAAAAGAAAAGTGGAACTATTATCTGTTATAGCCCAAAGGGTCAATAAACAGTAGAAATTTCATCCCATTGTAAAGATAAGCTAAAACCCAGTCCTTTTTGCTTAAGGCACATCTATGTATTTTTGGTATTCTTCAGCAGTGAAAAAAAAAGGAATAGTAAAATGAAATGATGAAGAGATGCTTTATGAAAATATTGATGAATGAATATTAATTTATTAAAAAGGATTTAATGATTTTTTGTGCTTCTTTTTTCTGGGGATGGAGGGAGTGTAATGACTGTTTAGCTAAATTTTAATATTTAATTGCATGTTAAATATCAGGTAATGGTTAGTCTTACACATTTTATAGGAAAAAAAGAAAGAATTTTCTTATTGCTACACATGCAGCAGAAGATATTTTAAACATTAAATGACTATATTTCCTGATGTTTTATACAGTAGATCAAGGAAGAGGGAAAAACTGCATCCCCTGACTTAGCAAGATTCTCAATTGCAAACCAATCTGTCTTCAAGCTGGGACATTGCCAGTTAAGAGCAGAAATTTGTTCTGTGCTTTATATGAAAAAGCCCTTCTTTTGTTTCCTCCTGGCCCAGGAGGCAAAAAAGTTTTTGATAACAAAACAAGACAGTGGTTTTTTATTTGTTTCAGTAATTGAATAATAAATATTTAAAAACCAAACATGATACTTTCTCATGCTATGCTAATTGTATCAAGACTGTTAATTGTGTTCATTACACTTCTTATTTATAAATATTAGTAAGTTATTTTTCAGGAGTCAGGATACAGACAAGATTCCAAGAGGGGATTTTAAAGACACCTTGTCATCAGTTCTACAACCCCTTCTCCCAAAATAAAAAAATACCTGGAAAATTTGGAAAGTAGTAACAAGCTGTCACATGCTTTCTTAAATCTCATAGTAACTAATGATATGTGTCACAGCTTTTAGGAGTAGATAAAATATTCAGCACCATAGATGTAATGGCCTTTGAAAGCTCCTCTGATTTCAGCACATTTCTGCTCATTTTTAGCAGTGCTTCCTGGATTGTAAGTAATTTCTATGATCTATTTTTTCCAGTCCAACCTGCATTGTAGGTACAAAAAATTAACAATGTAACAAAATCAATTTTCTGATTGGAAATATATGATAAGAGATGCATTTCTTTGTGTATTTTAGAGATGATGTATAGATAAAAATTGATTGATTGCTTAAGTACTACTCATTACATCAAGGGAGTTCAGTTTCTAGTGGAAATGATTGGTTCTTTTCCCCAAATAGTTATGGTCCTGTTAATATCAAGACTATTTCCACAGATCTTGGTTTTATGGTCATAACTCCTACAACAGCAAGTGCCCCCTGCTAATAGAGGTACAGCAGATAGTTGAAAACTAGACAAGAAGCAATGGAAATCCTAAGGCTTCTATGAACTGGTTTTGAACAAAGAATCTCTCATAGATGCCTTCCAACCCCTCCAGATACAGGGTCTAAGCTTTTCAAAAATTATTTCAGATTTTGGATGTTTAATTTATGTGTTTCTTATAGATTGTGAGAGCCTGACTTGTGTACTCAGATGTACACCTTCTGAAAATCAAACCCTTTGGCAGCTTACCCAACAAGCAGCATCACTAGTCATACTTGAAAAATAAATCCACGTGGATATGACATGTAATAGTACAAAAACAAGAAACAACTGCCTGTAAAATCAGCCAGAGTTTAAATCTTTGCCTAATTAACTGAACTTCAGGTAATGCTTAAGTAAGCACAATATTTGTTTGGACGATATCCTTTGCCTTTGCAACGTTTTGTGTGGTATGTCTTTTTCCAGCACTGCAGCCTAATATATATTAGCAAGTTGTGTTCTTCCATGGAAACAAGGGAAAACCTAGAAGGTGGTGCGTGCACTGACATACCTCCAGTGAGGCAGAGGAAGAGCACCTCTCTGAGTTTTCTCTAGACAGCTTCCCAAAATCACTCTGACCCTAGCTCTGAATACCTCCTTGGAAGCACCAATCTCTCTCCTTTAACTCCAGAGGGAGCCTTAGGCTAAACTCTGAATTATCCCCCAGCTTATCACCAGCAGTTGAGTTCTTTCAGCTGTTACTGCTCCTGCTGCAAAAACCTGGAGATAAAGTAGCTGTTATCCTGGCTGTCAGAAGGCACATGGGCAAACAGTATGTGTACTTGGGGCTGTGATACATCATGGCAATCTTTAGGTTATTTGTTCTAATATTGTATTTAAATGTATTTCACTTTATGTTCTAGCCTTCAAGAGTTAGTGCAGTTGTCTCCAGGTGCTGATGCTCTTTATATGAATGTAGTTGGGAGTCTGGGACAGAGCATGGGGAGCTTTTCTAAATCCTTTAAATCCGTTCAGGAGTACTCTCTTGGGCATTTCTTCCATCCTTCATCTGCATCACCTTCATCTGATCAGAGTTTACATTATCCCTTCACTAGGTTAATCACCCGTCTGCAAGTTACAGAGAGCATAAGCCTGCAGACGTGTGCTGCCAAGTGCTGACTTGCTCAGCTGTACTGTTGTATCTTACACTTGTTAGAAAGTCTCTCATAAATCAGATGTTATATTAGTCTAATAACTATCTGCTGCTTCACACTTCCTCCTAGAATGCCAGCACTGCCACTAGGGATCTGTTTCTCCATCCTTTGAAAACTACTAGAAAAAGGGGAATTTGCAGGCTGTCAGGCAATTAAGAACCTCTCCCCGTTCACCTAGGCTCAAATTTTGCTTCAGGTTATACATCTAATCTACAGGGACAGAAGTAATTTGGTACAAAATTTCCTGCCTAGGGCTACTCTTAAAGAGTTTGCAGTCCAAAGTACAAGTAATGTAGATAGATGCAAAGGTATTTAAAATTTCTAGCAACAGTCTTTACATCTTTTTTCCTTTGATAATATTTAATGTGAAAGGCACAAACAACTGCAGGAGCAGGAATCAGCGCGCAGTAAATCTCCCCGCGCAGGCAGGCTGAGAGTTTGGCTGGAGTCAAACACTTGTCCTCCACTTGCTTTCAAAGGTCTTTCTTCTTGGCTGAGCAGCTGGAGAGTTCTGATGTACATCCCAACTCAGCTGAGAGCAGTCCCAGGACATGACCCAGAGCACTATTTGGGCCAGTGCTCCAGGCATCTGCCTCTGATGTAAAGAGCTGACAAAAGCACTACATCTAACTGCATCTTAGATGGAGGGGACCCTCCTGTCATGAAAAGGCTTTGGGTGCCAAGCGTACGTCTGTGAGCACCTTCAGGGCATGGATGCTACCTACACTCTCTGTTTCTTGCCACTGCCCCTAGACAGTTGCACACTACACATGCTGCTTCGCCCTGCAGAGCTGTGCAATACTCCTGCCACTGCAAAGGATGCACAGGCTGAATTCATTCCATCTCACATAGCATATTCATTTGAGGCATCTAGTTAGTCCCTCCATCATTATAGACTCTATTTATAACCAACAGAAACACACACTATCATTCCGAGGGCTATTTAAAGCACACATTCGGAGTTTCAAGCCAACATTTTTAGTTTTATTTCTTTGACTGTCTGCAAAACCGTCTCCAGAGAAAGATTTGAGCAAAGGGAACTGTGTGCCCAAGCAGTGCTGTTGCACAGTGCTCTGCAGCTGGAGTTGCTGTGCTTGAAGTTTGCATGTGGGAGGGAGCACAAGAGAGAAATAATGCCAGAGAAATGGAAATAGTTTCTACACTTGCTTAGATTTATAATCTTTTGGAATAAACTGTTTCAGTTGCGGATAACAGAAGGCATCCTGAGATGTGAGTGATCCCATATCATGACCAACACAGTCCCACTCACTACCCTTTAGTATCAGTGAGTGTGGGCTTACAACTTTGGCTGAAAACTCACAACCACACTGGCTTTTGGAAAATAACTTCTGATTGCTTTAGGATTGAAAAACAATCATTGACATGACTTCATTTGCAAATGGGAAAAATTTCAAGACACGTTTTCCTCTGAACTTAACAGTCCTGACTGCCTTATTCTAAGCTGAAAACTACTACTTTATTAATTAATTTTTATATTACCGTCTAATTTTTCATTAATTAATGTGAAACATTGAGGGTTTTTGTTGGTTTCTCTAAAAGTACAAGGCCCATTTGTGATAAGAAAGTAGTTAATCAGTGTAATAAGTGCATATAGAACTGCACATAGTGCAAGGTATTAAAAGTGGAACAATCTAAAGGATACTCATTACCTACAACTACTGCTTGGGTATTATTTAAAATATTTAAAATACTATTGACAGTTAACATTTGAAGAGTATGCATAGTTTATAACAACACTGATTAGGTATTCTATACGGGCAGTTAATATAGCATGCTTCCACGTATCTCATTTGCTTTGACAAGGCAGTTTTTGGTGAAGCCAATGCTGGAACAATTTCCTAATGACCTCACTGATGTTAAATTTCTCTTGATCATGATTTCTTGCAGACCTGTAACATTCTGAATGCAGATGACAGTTTTGACATTCACAAAGATGTAGGTTTAATTATCATTTTGATTACTTGAGCTGGGAAGCCAGATGCCTAAATATCATGAAAGGTCGAGTAGAACAAATTCTGATAGTTAGTATCTTTCGGTGTTAAACATGTTGCTTGGGTTGGAAGGTGACTTAGAGAATAAAAAGAAGTAATTTCTTTGCATAACTCTCTTCCTGCATAAAAAATTGTTTAAACATTATTTAAGCAAGAATTTGGTCTTAAAAAGAAGAGGAAATTTGAGGTGGACTACAAAAGACATGTAAATCACCTCAAATAAAACAGAACAGAAAGGAGAGGTACCCAAGACACCAAAATATATAAAGATCTGATAGTTTTTCTGATGTCCCATAGTAGGTAACACTTTATTGTTGAGAGATTCATATAAAGCACAGCAAGCCACCTCTTTTATAGTAGAGAATTTGACAATATCTGTTGCCTTTATGTGCATGATTTATAAATCTATTTTCTAAAGCTATTTGAGGGCCGTAAAATTATACCATTATTTAGTACACAGCTCCTCACAGATTCTGGTTTATCAAGTGTTAGGTAAAGAGTGAAAAAAACATTTGCTAATCACTCATTAAACTAGAATAGGTTCAAGCAAATGACTGCTATTATGAGTCCTGATCCAAAGCCCATTATAGTAGAAAGAAAAGCTCTCAGAGGTTTCAACAGGCTTTGCATACCATCTGAAATTAGTATTAACCAGACTGATGGAAAATTTAATCTTAATTGACTGTACAAAGATCAAGACAAAAAATGCCAGAATATAAGTAGTAAAGATCAAAATACAGTAGTGGACTGAAACCTGAAATTGCAATAGACACAAGGGATAGAATTTATTTTTTTTTTATTTTAGCTTAATCAAGTACTTTGTTGCTAGGGAGGTGAAAAACAGGTTGAGTTTTAGTTCGTCCATGGGTGTCCACAAAACTCAGGCTTTACCCTTAGCAGCTAAATGCCAAATCAAATGAAAAAAAACCACTCCAAACCACCACCAAAAGACGAAAGTGGAGCATCTCTGGCAGATCAGATAGCTCTCCCCATCTTCAGAGGCAGGCTGACATCCTACTGCAACAGGTAGGTATTTTAAGTATTCTTTATTAATAACAATGTTGATATCATAATAGTATTATTGATGTTTAATCATAACACAGACATATTACACAACTTT